AGTTGCACAGAAGTGGTTGTAATATCTAAGTCAGTATGGATGCATTAAAATTAGCGTACGTTGAATTCCAGTCGCTGAGCAGACTGTATACTTTTTTGACGCTGAACAGGCTCCACCGCAAAGCACACCCGCCCAATTAATGTACCACCGCAGTGTTCCCTGTCCACTTCAAGCCGTATTTGTCACGAATTCTAGCACAAATCGTGGATGTTTTAGAAGTGTAATTGTTCTTCCTTCTAGCCTGGCCACTCACGATAATTAGCGTGTGTAGAGCGTTCATCTCCCTGACTTGTATTTTAGGGGCGAGTTATGTAACGCTTGTAAACTTCTAACTGCGCTTTCCAGTACAGTACAGTTTCTCTGCCTATTTTACTTAGCGTATTTTCGTGGTGTTGGTTCTGCACGATTTCTTGAAGTATGGATATCAAGATTATCCCTAAACTCAGATTGCCTTGCGCATCTCCGATAACGACTATCTTCAGACATCTCGAGGACTGGCTATCTAAGGTCAGCCCAACTGTTCTTTCGCAACTAAGACTTTCATTAACTTTTTCATTGGCATTTCTGCTACAGTCTCTCCGTTCTGTTATACGTTACTGCCGGTAGGCGCTGCGACAACTCTTGTGGACACATTTCCCTCCGTTTTCCATTTACCATAATCGTTTCTGTAATCGAATTACACCGCACTACATAATCGTAGCCGGTTTCCTTACTCTGTTCTCTAGCTTCGCCTATTCCCTTTCGGCAAGACCAGATTTGTGTACGGTGCGCACCTTAAAGTAATCATCACAAATCACTTTTCCCTGCTGGGAGTATAACCAGAAGTATCTCTACGGTACTGCCCCATCCACATTTTTGTTTTCATCATTACCATATTTGTCCTCATCCACTGCTCATCCTCACAATTTACCCGATCAAGGTGGTTTACCTCGTTCACTTAAAATGTACGTTTACACGAGAACGCATCAGAGTATGGTGACTGAGTGGCTCAAGATTGTTATTTGTAACTGTGTGAAGAAATATGGTATGAACGAAAACAACGATGGAGAGTATGTACGAGGAAGCGCCGCGGACCATGCTTGAAATGACGCTAGAGAGACCAAAAAATTGCTTGTTGTAACTCATTTCCAGCGCATTTCGTGCAACAATTGGACAAATCTCGGACCATTTGGACCGATGTGCTCATCATCATCATCATCTTTTCCCGCACATCGGAATCGTTGCTAATCTTGTTGCGCTCACCGCTTGCTGTGTCACTTTTAAAACGCATGTTGTAACTTCTTTAACACTGGAATGCACTTCTGTCCATTCTTTCAGCCTACTGGAATTGTTTCACATTGCTTTCGGACCACTACCTGAAACCGGATAAACCCCAGTGGAAGATGAAGAATACATGTAAGTCGCGAGTGCTTTAACTTGTTACGTGAAATCTGGTCAAACGGTCTTAATTATCCTTCTGTCTTATATGATACTTCAGTATACTCAGTTACATGAAACGTCCCTCGTTCTGCTGCAACTCTGGAATTGATTGTACAGTGCCGGAGCAACAAAATTTGCCGCCCGGGAACGTGGTAAAAATTTCCGCCTTGACTGAGGGCAGGATAGGCGTGTGAAGGCCACACAATCGGCTCAGCGTAAAGTGCAAATTAGTTTTCGATCGTTTGGGACCCTGAGTTAAAGATGTTGAAAGTGACCGCAATGGGACACGTAAGGGGATTGATGGATAGAACGTTTGCACAGGTGTGACACCTGGTACTAAGGTCCTATTGGTCACACAGAGTAACATTAAAATTCTCGACCCTCAGCTTATCTGGAAATTTGGCCCTTTATATGTGGTATGGAACAATCGGCGGAACTAAAAATGCTACCTCATGTCACATGCCGCCCTGAGCGGACCGCCTCCTCCGCCCTCCTATGCTACTCCTCTGAGATTGTATACTTCGTCCAACAACTGTGATCTAAGCCTTAACCGACTCAAGTACAACCCAAAGACTTCTTCGTGCTACATTTCTGCATGCGGACGCTTTTTATATTGCATATCCGTCGTTGGTTTACGAGTGCATTTAAGAAGCCTAGTAGGATGTACCACTTTGTTGGCATCATTTTGTCTAAACATGTGGGGTATTACACATTGCTCATGTTGGCTATCTAGCTACATCATCGTACTCACTAAACGTTAGCTAAAGGTGAGGAACACCTCAGTTATTGTGTCGTATTACAAGATTCCATATCTGACAAATATTACAGCGTATAAAATAATAGCAAAGTAATAATACAATGGTTTATGTCGTAGTAAGCGTTTAGTGGGAGATCCTGGTTGCTTCGCGAAGCTAAGCGACAGGTAAGGAACAGAGAATCTCACAACACAAACGCTATCCAGGTCGGATCCTGGCAATGTCAATAGTGTATCCAAACATACGCGTTCATGGTCTTTCGGGACCAAACCCGGAAATCAGGCCCAAGTTCGAAATTAGATGCTTCTTTCCTCGACCAATTTATCGGCTGCTTTTCTCTGACAGACTTTGATCGATTAAACAAGAAACGCAGCAGTAGTCGGTGTGCTGAGGTGCGTAACACATGGCCCGGACATCGGAGCCTGACGCGTGAAATAACGATGTCACGCGGTTAACTTGCTGTTCCTGCACCAAATACGGGACGCCGTACTCGTTCATTGCGCATGCTCTGTTCCTACCGGACATGACCTAAACTGCGAAGGCAGCGATAGTCGAACATAACTAATCTCTTATGTCTTTCGAACTGATGGGTCGGGTTTCGCAATCCACAGCAGCGTTGATCGGACAGCCGCGTTGTAAACTCGGCCTTTAAGGCGAGAGTGATGGCGCACCGGCGCCACAGATGACGAAGCGTGGTAAAAGCGCCTGGAGCTTTTGCTACGCAGTTTGACTATAAAGCTACCTTCCAACAATGTATTGCTTCCTTTAATGTACGATGTTTTACTAGGTATGTTGCTCTCCGGATGTCTTTTGTCACGCCAGCCTTACCAGGCAAGTTCTGCGGAGTGCTCGCAACATTACACGTACTTACGCATTGCTGGTGTTACCTTGACTGGTGACGAATCGTTTGCAAGGAAATTACGAGCCTCATCGAACATCTCGACTAACAGATCGTTATATTTTTTCGAGATGATTCATTGCAGCTAGTCTCAGCCAGATAGGCACTCCACATCCCCCAATACTCAAGGAAAATATGCATATTTATGTGGATGGATGTAATATTTGAAGGTTTTTCAATGTAAAAATTCGCCCTTTCGCACTGAGCTGTTGCGCTTTATGCGTCCGTATGAGGCGCATACTACTAATTTTGCAGCAACTTAGTTACACTTACTGTAATCTTGTAACTATTGTCAGCGAATTTCCGGTATGCAGCTACAATACATTCAGCCGGTGGCTTTTGTAAAACAGCGTTTTATGTTGCTGCCTTGATCTTCATTGGCTCAGCTTTAGTTTATCCTCCTTTGCTTAGTCAACTGGGGATATCAAGTTTTGTCAGTGAGCCTTATGAACCCTAATAGGTTCATTTTTAGCCGTTACTCCTTCACTGCGGGCATGTCGGATGATAATATTAATACAATATACATAGTTGGGGAGGCAAGTGGAATATATGCACAACTGTAACTCCAGCAAATGCTCGCGAAGTATGTTTATGACCTTCACTGGCTCAACAAGCAAACGTGATAGATTGGGCAAGACAGTATAACGATAGGATGACGTGTTGGAGAATAACATTTTAAATTTCGAACGCGTAGAAGAGGATGGGTTTTTGCAAATTCAGTATACAGTGGATGAAATCGGGCATCCATATACTTCAAAGAAAATTCATTGCAGGCATCAGGACATCTAGAACTGATGGAATCAACTAAAGAATCTCTAAACACGCCACTGCATCTTGCTATATGCATTATCGAGCGTAAAAGTATGATGTTATCTTGCTGAAGTAATCCAGGGAAGATCACAGGAGAGCAGTATAACCAATAGGGGATAATGCAAGAGGCAACGACGTTGAATCTTAAAGTATGGGGTCTAAAAGGAATAATTTATGAATTTATGAAAAGTATGATGGACGTGCGTTGAGCAAGAAAGGTTCTGGGACAAAACGTCACCGAGATACTTGACCGTGGATGGTTTGGGTACAGGCTTTTCGTTCACAGTAGGGGTGGGGGAGATATCTATGGGGGACTGCAGCTTATCGCCATGGAGAAAAAGATATTACCTCACTGCATTTAGAGTGTATGATGTTGTGAAAGGCATGAATTTGCAATACCCAAAGGATGGAAAATGCAACTGAAAACTCAGAGCGAAAAGTTACGTGGAACGTGAATTATCAGTGGTTAAGACGTCGCACTTTACTACGCTTTTGCGTAACTTTTATCACTAAGAGGAACATCTAACAATCCTTCGAATATCTGGTTGTCTGGTGCGTTCACCATATATATTGGTTGTGCATTCCTGTTGGAACAGATTCTAAGATCCAAATGGGAATGTTGCTTTGCTACTTTCAGGTGGTTGCGTCGGCATAGTTTGTGAACGGCTAGGTTCAGTAGTGATTTACATAGATACTCGCTTGCGGTTAGTATCCGGTAGGTAAGAATCAGATCGCCGCGAAGAGGTCGTTGTTCTGAGAAGAACGCGAAGACACAGTTCGTAATTGAGATTGAATAGTCCACGTGTTGTCTTGGTTGCTCTTGTTTGGGGCTACTACAAGGACGAATATGTCGTTTTAACTATGCGCGACAGGTATGAACCGCATATTCAATCTGTGGACGAAGATATATGTTGATCAACATTGCTACTAAAAGTCGCTCAAATGTGCCGAGAGCTCGCCTCAAAAGCCTCAAGTTCAAGTTCTCCACCTTTACTACTTTCGAGCATTGGAGCGAATGGCCAAGACTTTCTTGAACTTTGATATCTAAGTCTCGTTCACTAGTCACCTGTTGCAAAACGTGCTCTCCCAGAAGATACGTGTTGCTGAAGCTGCTACGCACTGTCAGCGGGTGACACTTTACTGTTTTCTGCCCATTCGTTAATCCGGTCCAGTTCGTTCTGTAGACAGGCACGGTTGCATGTTGAGCGAATTGTTCTTTTTATTTTAGCATAATCTGCAAATATTTGTATCGAAGATAGGATGTTTGCTGGGAGGTCATTGATGTAGAATAAAAACAGTAGCGGGACGAGGACGGATTCTTGCGGTACACCATTGGAGATGCACAGGCTTTCGGAGTGAGTGTTGGCTATTCTCATCTTGATTGTTCTGTCACGTAGGTAGTATTCCAATTAGTTGATCAGGGAATCGTTGTTACTGTAGGCAGCATGCTTTTAGAGAATAAATTGGTTGACCTTGTGGAATACTTTAAAAAAGTCTAAGTAAATTACATCTATGGGAACTCACATCATCCACCCTCGTTCATGAGTCCCCAGCAAGGAACGGATTAGTGACGCAAGCTCTGCGTCTGGAAGCATGTCGAACCTTAGATATGATTTGCAGACTTTCAAAATGTCGCGCCAGTTTATCTGCGACTATCGATTCCATTACTTTTGATAAAACAGAAAGGAGCGCATTGCTCTGTAGTTGGCAGGATCCGATTACTTATTTCCTTTTGTATATCGGTGTAACGATTTCACGTTTCCACTCGGATGGGAGTGTGTGGGAGTCAAACAGGCCCTGGAATAGACTGCAGGGTTATAGTGGGGTGATCATTTTTACTACCTTTGGACAGATCTTCTCGATTCTCGGGGCACTGTGTTCCCGGAAAGACTGTAATATGCTTACGGCAACTGATGAAATAAATCGGACACTGAATAAGCCGACAACGTTTGTTGTAAGTTTGTTAGGGCGAAGGTTCCATGGTCTTTGTACTCAATGAGCCAAACTGCAGATGTAGTGCGGTCGCGGTATCCATAGCATTAGTTGTTAAGCTACTGGCCGTCCAGAGTGGGGGTATTCTAGGCCTAACCTTTCTTTTGCCATTCACATGCCACCTGTAAAGCTGTTTTGTGTTACTCGTAAAGTTGAGTACCGTAGTCTTTTGTCATTCGTACTTGTCAGCTCTAATGAGTGACATGCAGTAGTTTGATTATTTTATACTTCTGCCATGTGGTATCACATGGGCTTAGTGTATACTGCCTCCAAATATCATCTCTTCTATTTATTCTTTTACGTGTTCTGCTTCGGATCCAGGTGTTGGTCCGCCGTGATGCTCGCAATGGTACATCATTTTAGCATGCTTATATGGCTCAGTGAATTTTACATTTTGATTCATTTCATGCGCCATTCATCCGACTGTGTGGCTGTAGGTTCCAATCAACGATTGCCATTAAGTTGTGACGTTTGGAATAGTCAGAAATACTTCGTTGGCTTTCCCTTCTTCAGCAACAATACCGGCGTAGCACACGTTATCAAACGTTAGAACTGAATGATCGCTACTAACTTGTAGAGGGCCCAAAGCGGCTGATTCAACTGTCAACTCTTCATTTGTCAGGATTAGGTCCAGAAATGACGACTTGTTCGAATTGCGGTGTCTGGTTAGCCGTCGCACATGGTTACACAAAATTGACAAATCTATACATTCAAGCATTTTTAATTTTAATTATGGCCCACTTGGGGATATTAATACCATTGCAGGTACATTGAAGCCGCTCATTACAAGGCATCGGGAGCACTTTTTTGAGACAGAATAGCAGAGCGTTTAACCGAAAGTTATCGCTGTCTGCGGAAAAGTTCAGTGGCCTGTAGACAACTGCTGAGAGGCAATAATCGCGGATATTTTTTCTGTGATCCACCATTTCGACCTGCTAGTTGGAACTAGCAAAATAACGCATCGAGAATAACAAAAGAATATGCCATACCGGCCTTATATTTTAGGTTATCACGATAGTCGATAGTAGCACCTCTACTGCGAGATGGACAATCATTCCGAATGACTGACATCTCACTGAGTTTAATCTCCGCATCCGCTATGTCGTTTGGGAGCAAAGTTACAGTAACTGATACGATATCCTAAGTTGTAGTTTCATGTCGATTGCGCGAATTTGGAAGCTTAGGATACAACCCTTGAGTGTTGGTGTGGCAACCTTGTATTTGTTGTCGTATTAGGAACTCGGTTCGATGTGAGTGACGGGCACCAATAATGCTGGTCTGCTTATGTTTTTGAAACGGGTATTTGTGCGGTTGACTGATATGAAGTAGAAACAATCGAGTCTGGATCATCTGTACCTTTGGTCTGTGCTGCTTGAAGTATTGGTCTTAACAGTACTTCCGGTGTCCCAATTTTCCCGTTGGCATGCCACACTTGGATCGCCACTGATACCATTTCGAGCACAGCCAAGGTAACTTTCAACATGTTTGTCCCGCTGTCCTGGTAGTTTGGAGAGGCAACTAGACAGGTGACTTCAAAAGTGGCTAACTTTTGCATGTTACAGAGCTCTGTGATGTACCTCCACTCTTGGAACTCGTGCTCTTGTCGTAAACTGTTATCGTCATGCTTTACTTCTGGTTTGGGTTGGATTTCCGCTTCTGTCCTTCTGCCCATGGCTTATCCGAAGAAATGCGGACACACACAGACTAGTTCAATAGAATGTGGATTTCTAAGATAACATCTTTCAGATCTCATGTGTTGTCAAATATTACTCGCAGCAACTGAGGTCCTTCCTACCTACGGAGATGCTGGATTTCGTGGAAGGCATGTGAAACTAGTTGGGAGAACTTGCAGTCCTAGTGCTCAGCTTATCTTAGCTCAATGGTTCGTATGCACTTTTAGGTCACCGTTTGTGCTGCCCCAGTTGTCTGCGCCGGTCAGCGTGAACAATCTTGATGTCAGTGGGTTTGGTAGTAGTTTGTCCTCGGCGCACAGGTGGACGGAAACACACAAGCGGTAAAATGCATGTAAAAATGCGATGATAACTCTGGTAACTCTGAGTCGACAAAATGGGCTCTAACTACGGTCTGCAGTGATGCAAGTAGTAAGTTATATCTTGTAGCCTTAAAGAAGCTCTGTAGAACGGTATCTCAAAAGCACTGAGGAAACTCAAAAAGGCATGTTTCACATGTAGGTCTTAGCGAATAAACTGCCGAAGAAGCCATTTGTGGTGCACCAGCGTGTCATTCGACCTGCTTCAAAGAAATAAATCCCGTTAGATGGAGCTCGGTGATCCGAATCGAATGAGCATGCTTCCGAAGATGTTGTGCAAGGATGTGGATGGATCAGGCTACATTAACACCGCACCAAATTATATTACCGGCACGCAGCGCACACTGGCTGTGAAGGGATCTGTATCACGATCACTCCACCAGAACTTCCGATCCACCTTGGAGTGATAATGACTTGTGAATAGTGGGGGCCACACATCCCAGCATAACATCGTCAGCATATTTGCATCCTATAAATATGGTTTCTATAGGGCGACGTTCAACATATAAAGGAGAATAGAAAAGATGATAAGATGGCCACCTGAAGAACACGCAATCGCACGGAAGACAGAAGACCCCTCACACTTTAACTTGATGTCGTAAATACGATGCGTGAAATAGTCACGCAACAGATTACACATTTGGGTGAACCCCATTCTCGGATAGCCGCTTGAACAACACTGACATATCCAGCCTTCCAAAGGCATTCAAATAATCAAGGGGAAGAAGCCGTACGGATTTACATTATTTTGTCACATGCAGATGCTATAGAGTGTACATGATATACCACTGCATCCGACGAGGTTCGTTGAAGTTTATACGAAGACTGGTAGATATCGTCCACAGGTATGGCTGCAAAGCTTGGAATTAACAGATATCGAAAATTTTCAGGAGCACAGATGTGCACGCGATCGAGAGTGGCTTCTGGGACACATTTTCGGATACTGGTCTTACTTTGGCTGATCTCCAAATGTCCAATATCACACCCATATTAAGGCATTTGTTAAAGTGACCTGTTAAAGTTATTATGAGATCATCAACATACTATTTCATAGCTAATGGGGTGAAAGAATTCGGACCACTTGCTGTGCTTGATTTTATTCTTTTGAGTTCTTTGCGAACGTCGCTTTGTTTGAAGAACACCGCTTTACTTGAGCTAATGAACAAGGTCAACAAGGTGGGCTAGGTGTAGCGGAACTAAAATCAGGATTTAGTTTGTCCACATCCACTGCACCTTCGGGAATGATTTATTGCATGGTAACTGTACGCGTCATTGGTGCATAAAAGCACATTCTTGACCTGATTTGAACGTTTTGGTCGAAATTTTGTGACACCGACCAACTGAGCACTGCCTGACTGATTCGGTCGAACTAGATCTTGCGTGATCTTCATGAGTTCCATAGGTTTCCATCATGGTTTATCGGATTTTGTTGAGTATCCGGTACTCACCAGCGAACCAAGTTATCCTTTGGATTAGCATTGTCTAAACAGCTATAGGGTATGATCTGCCAGTTTTATCGATCCCATCAACAGTATTCTGCAACTGTGTAATGGTCCTTAGT